TCTGCAAGACTTCTGCAAATCAGTCCTGTCCCCGAAGGACACGCATATCCAAACTCTATTTTCAAACATGAAGACAGCCAGTCTACAGCCTTATTTATGCTGCTTTATAATAAAGCTCTACCTTTAAAAAATTCAATCCTTCAACCAACTGACTAAAATTTTGGTGCATTCCGCAGGAAAGAAGTTCAAAAGGCAAATGAGTCTCTGTCGTGAGAGTCGTCGGTTCCTGCCGCCTCACCACAGAGTCTCATTTTCTGTTTCCTCACCATGAAAATGACAGCTACAGCTGACATTCTTCAACTTAATGCTGTGTTTATTTTATTTTAGTTTCCTGACTAGAAAGATAACCCTTACATCTTCCACTTTTCCTCTCCAAATGCTATCAGCCATTCTCACTGCTTTTCTCTCTCTCTCTCTCTTTTTTTATATATCAATATATATATTTGATTTCAGAGAGGAAAGAGGGAGGGAGAGACAGAAACACCAACGAAGAGAAAGAACCATTGATAGACTACCTCCTGCACGCCCTACACCAGGGATCCAGTCTGCAACCGGAGCATGTACCCTGGCCAGGAATCAAACTGTGACCTCCTGGTTCATAGGTCAACACTCAACCTCTGAGACATGCCAACTGGGCCTCACTGCTTTTAACTTCATAAATGAATTAACTTCAGCTGGCCTTATTTCAATGGTTAAAAGTTATGTTATTTTCCTGGTCATTAAAGCAGAAATTGTAGAGAAAAGGTGTGAGCCAATCTTTTTAAACCCTGAAAACTAGTATAAAGGAAGGATAATTGATTCATAGGAAAAGGTACAATCATAATATTTTACACTTCCTGCTAGTCACTTCTGATTGATAGTGCCTGGACTCCATTTCTCCAAATGTGTAGAAAAACTGGATGCATAGGAGAAAGAATTAAGAGCCTCAAACTCAGACCTAGTTTCAAATCTCAGTCCTATTATTTACTAGCCACGTGACCTTAGGCAGTTATTTCAGTCTTTTGTACCTAAGTTTCTAAACTGTCAAATGTCCAGTGCAATAGGAGGCGTATCCAATAACACTCCCAGGGGGGCCTGGGACAGATCCTGCAATTAAATGCATTGCTTTTTCTGCAGTAAAACATATTTTCAGGTTGCATGAGATAAAGATTACAAATAGTCTCACCTATTCAGGTCAAGTTTTAGCACCAATGAGTTTTCAGGTCCAATTTACAAAAAAGCAAAAACAAAAGCAAACTCCCCCACACTGTTACCTTTTGAGACTGTTCTGGGTGGTAGAACTGCTGGTAAGGGCAGGTGACTGCTCCCACTCCCTGGGGAGATGTGAGCATTGGATGTGGTAACACACATGAGGTCCCCTTCTTACTGACACGAGAAGGGACTTTTAAAGGGTTAGATAGCTATTATTATTGGGAAACTGCAAGTTCTGACCATGTCACCTGCTTGCTTTGAACTCTGATGGTTCCTCACTACCTACAAATTAAAATCCAAATTGCGAGGAGTGGCCCGCAGTGAAGTCCCTTCCAAAACTGGACACGGGCTGTTCCGGCTGTTATTACTCTCTTCGGCCTGGCCACTAATACACCTTTTGCTTTGGTCACGTAGAAATAACCGGTTCTTTATTCCCTCCTGTTGTCTCCCTCAGCCTGGACTGTCATCTACAACCTCCTTCCTTCTCACCGACCACTGCTCTATCCAATGACATCTCCCCTAGGAGGCTCTCCTTGGCCTCACCTAATGACACTCCTCCCTCCGTCTTCCCAGCACGCTAGAAACTGAGAGCTCTGTCCAGCTCTTGGGAAACAGCAAATGTCTTTTATCTCAAAGATCCGTACACAGTAAGTGCTCAATAAATGCTTGTTTGGTGAATAAGGCCATCAGCAATCTGTTTCCTCAATATGTTGGTTCCATCAGGTCGGGGCCATAAAAATCAATCAATCGAAGGTTATATGAGGACAGGTCTTTAAAAATATATATATTTTATTGTTTTTTTACAGAGAGGGATAGAGAGTCAGAAACATTAACCTGTTAACGGGGGAGTTCCCTTTTTAATTATGCAACCTGTAACGGGCAAGCACTCTTTCACTAGGATGTGTCAGTAAATCACGCCCAGAGGACGTAATTTCATATTACTTTATTTATTTATTTATTTATACTTAATTAAAATAAATGAAATATATATTTTTTTGTTTATTTATATATAAAGCACAAAGGAAAATACAAAATTACAAATAGAAAAGAATACCAACAAAAAAAATGGAAACATCGAATTAAAAAATTATAAATTTTACAAACAATTATAAAGATTACAAAAAATATATATCGTCCCTCTCAGGGCGCAACATATATTTCAAGGACGTATTCATATGTCCTACCCGTTCCCGATATTGTTTACGTTTGACATATTTATAGGTCCCACTCGGTTAACAGGTTAATGAGAGAGAAACATCAATCAGCTGCCTCCTGCACACTCCCCCTACTGGTACATGCTACCAAGGTACATGCCCTTGACTGGAATCGAATGCAGGATCCTTCAGTCTGCAGGCCAAAGCTCTATCCACTGAGCCAAACCACTGAGCCAAACCAGTTAGGGCGAGGGAAGATTTTTGATCACTGTTGTATCCCGGGGCCTGGTACTCAATAAGCACAGCTTTTCTAAATATATGAATGAGTGAATGGGTGAATGATTGAAGAGTATGATACATATTTATGACAATGTAAAAACAAACCACCACGACCAACAACAGAACACAAACCCATAGCATGTGCTTTTAAATCTCATAAAATATGGCACTGGCTAAAAAGGCTGTCCTACCTTTTTAACCAGTGCCATATAAGTTCCATGGGCCTGAATCCCAAAGCGTCACCCCTCACCTGGTCCAGTCACTACCGGAGCCCTACAGAGCTTGAGTGGCAAAGTGAGCTAACCTATGGATCCCCCAGAACATTTCTGTCCCAGGGCAGCGATGTAATCACTTCCCATAAAACATTTATCAGCACTGCTCCTGCCCCATAACCTCAAATATTCAGCAATTTATCCAACTTGCATGAGTCATAAATAAAATATTTTACTGAATAAAAAAACAGCTAACTTTTATGGAGTGCATCCACCTACGTTCATATCATGCAAATATCATTGTCTTTTACCTTTTTTTACATTCCCTTTTTCTCCTTAGGACTCACACACCCCTCTCCCCCACACCCAGGTCCTACCCATCACTCCCCACTTAGTTTGAGGTCAGTGACTTATAAGCTGGCAGGAAGAGGCCACTACCTGCAAAATACAGCCAAAACTGGTTTGGCTCAGTGGACAGATCATCAGCCTGTGGACTGAAGGGTCCCAGGTTCGATTCCGATCAAGGGCATGTACCTAGGTTGTGGGAACATCCCCAGTAGGGGGTGTGCAAGAGGCAGCTGATAGATGTTTCTCTCAACAATGTTTCTAACTCTCTATCCCTCTCCCTTCCTCTGTGAAAAATCAATAATTAAAAAAAAAAATATATATATATATATATATATACACACACACACACACATACATATATATATAAAAGCAAAATACAGAGGTCCAACTGGCGCTGGAAGCTTTCAGTGATGGACAGGCTCTCAATGCTAGTTATTCCCAAACATATGATTACAAAAGGCCGGACACTATGCCTCCGGCTCTCCGAGAACAGCAGGACCTCTGTCTTCCAAAAAGAAGGCCTTTTAACTTTGGGAATCTCACTCCTTGGTTCAACACAATAAACCTAAGTCATTGCCTCCCAATTCCCACAGGAAAGCAGTAACCCTTCAAATGTTGAGGGTTTCTAAACGCTCAAGTTCTAACATCTATGTCTCCAGTCAATCACGCGGCCCTGGGAAGACCAGAGAGGTAGACGGAGTGGGGAGTGCCAGGATGCATTTCTGGCTTCACCAATATCTCAATATTTCGGTGACTCTTCGTGGGCCTCCGTTTCTTCGTGGGTAATGAGAAAATCTGATCGGATCAGTGTTTCCCAGAGAACAGTGGGCGTTCAATGCAAGACGTCTTAATAGGAGAAAGAATAGACTTTAGGCGCACACAGATGAACATGTTTTCGCTATTTTAATTCTTTAGGACAAGTGATGCTGGTTTTCCATTAGCGGTGGGAATGTAAAATTTCCTTGAAAATAAAAACATCTAAGGCTTAAAAAAAAAAAAGAAGTCCCTTTTAGAAACACACACACACACACACACACACACACACACACAAACCCACACTATTTAATTAAAAAAAAAAAGAAGAGTTCAGGTGGTTCTTGCAGCTGTGCAAAAGTAAATGCTCTAGGGACCTTGGTGCTTCGGAAAGAGGCCTGTGAAGCCCAGTGAAGCCTAAGGAAGAGAGTGGAAGCCCTGGAGGCTCCTCGCCATCAGAGAATCCCAGACACCAGGGCCCGCGGGACCATCTCTCCCCCCGCCCCCCCACCCTCGTCCCTCCCCTCCCCTCCGTCCCCCCGCCCGCCCGCCGGCCCCCACAGCAGGAGGCTTGGAACTGACCAGGTCGGGCAAAAGCCCTTCAGGTCTGACAAAACCCCACCAAGGAGAGGCGGAGGCGGGCGTGGGGGCCGGGCTGGAGGGGCGGGGGCCGGGGAGAGCGTCGGCGCGGAGACTCGAGTCTTGGGCGCTTTGGTTGGGGATCCCGGGCTGGAGGGGCGCAGTGGGACCAGGAACGGGGGGAGAAGGGATGCCGGGCTGGAGGGGCGCAGTGGGACCAGGAACGGGGGGTACCGGGCGGGAAGGCCGGGGTGGGGCCGAAAACGGGGGTGCCGGGCGGGCGAGGCGCCGGGAGTGAGGGTCCCGGTGAGGGGCGTGGCAGGGCCGGGGTCCGGGACCGAGCGGCGGGGACGGGAACCGGAGGGCTTGCGGAGGGCCCGGCGGACCGAGGCGCAGCGGGCCGCGCGCAGAGGGCCGGCCCGGACCCCACGGCCCCTGCAGGAGGAGGACCGGCCGCCCCCGCCCCCGCCCCGCGCCGCCAGACCTGTCCTCGCTGGCCGTGATCACGCCGTCCTCCTTGGGGATGAGCAGCGCGGCGGTGACGGCGTCCTGGTGGCCCTCGATCTTGCTCAGCAGCACCGGGCGGCTGCTCTGCGGCCGGGAGTGGATCTCGGCCGCCATGTTCGCGCTGCGGCGGCGGCTGCGGCGGCGGCCTGGCGGGGGCGGCCCATCAGCTGACCGCGGCGGCGGGGCGGGGCGCGCGGCCGCCGGTTTCGCAGGGGCTGCGGCCGCGTGGGCGTCGCGCTGCGGCAAGCGCTGCCGTAAGCTCCCGAGTGCCCCGCGGGGCCGCCGTATTGCCTGGGGGAGCTGCGCAGCCACATTTACCACATTTACTACAGTAGGCTGGGGTGTGGGGAGGGGTGGGTGGGGGAAGAGACGCTCGACCCCCCCCTCCCCCAAGGAGGGAAAGTGGTAAAGGTTGAAAAGGTAGAGGAAATAATTCTGAAAGGTATTCTTTAAGAAGAGGAAGAAGAAAAAAGTAAAGATAAAAATCATGAACAACAAATACACATCTATCAACCAGTGAACCTAAAAATCAAGTGAATTAAAAATCTGAGGAACAGAATAAACTGGCGAATATAATATAATAGAATCAGGGGCGAAGAATGGGAGTGGATTAATCATTATCAGAGGTGAAGAGGGGTGGGGGTGCAGGAAGAGACTGGACTAAAATGGTACACCTATGGATGAAGACAATGGGGGCGAGGTAAGGGTAATGGCAGAGGGTGGGGTAGGGAAGCTATAGGGGGGGAGGAAACAATTGTAATAATCTGAACAATAAAGATTTATTAAATTTAAAAAAAAGAAAAGAAAAGGTAGAGCGCCCTAACTGGTTTGGCTCAGTGGCTAGAGGGTCGGCCTGCAGACTCAAGGGTCCCAGGTTCAATTCCAGTCAAGGGCATGTACTTTGGTTGCCAGCACATCCCCAGAAGGGGGTGTGTAGGAGGCAACTGCTTGATGTTTCCCTCTTACGGATGTTTCTAACTTTCTATCCCTCTTCTTTCCTCTCTGCAAAAATCAATAAAATATATTAAAATTAAAAAAAGAAAAAGAAAAGGTAGAGGAAAGAAAGTCCAGCCTAAAGAAAAGTATTGTAGGGGTTTATTTAAGCCCAACTGAGGACAGTTTCCAGAAAGCAAAAATCTCAACAGATGGAGAAAATATTCCAAAGAATTGCAATTTTGCATCTTATTTTACACATTAGAATAAAAGGAGGAAACATAAAGAGGGTTACAAGAAATCCATTGGTGGCAGATTAAGGGGCAGAAGAAAGCAATGTAGAGAAATCTCTAGGATAAGATAAAAAGTAAAACAGAGAGGCACATACATATGTCTTTTACATTGGTGGGTACAGCATAGTTACCATTTACAGCACCTCGAGATGGTACTGGGGGGCAAAAAAGATAATATGGGATTCTGTTGTCTTGTGCCCTGTGGGATCTGGAGAAGGAGATTACTCTGACATTTCAAAAGTCTATTATTTAGATGCAAAAAAAGACCATAGACAAGTTCACTGAAGGTAAAGATTGACCTTTGTGTGATGACCCACCATGAGTCACTTTCAGTTAGGAATTTTTATGTTCAACCATCCTATGTGGTTGCTTTTGAGGGAGTAGCTGTGTGGAAATTAGGGGCAAGTGCTGTCCTGGGAAAGGGAAGAGCACGTGCTAAGGTCCGGAGGCGAGAACATGCCTAGGGCTTTCTAGGATTGGTGAGACAGCTAGGGCGGCGGGAGCAGAGTGAGTGAGGAGTGCAGAAGGAGATGAGGACAGAAGGGTCACCGGACAGACCATATTGAGCCCTGGGGAATGGTAAGGCTTTGACTTTAGCTAAGTGAGATGGAAAACCGTTGGAGGATTTGAACAGACGACTGGCTTAATCTGCCTTCAATTTTATTTTATTTTATTTTATTTTATTTATTTATTTTTAAGGAACTACCTTATTTATTTTTAAATTTTTATTTATGATTTGAGAAAAAAAAACATCCATCCGTATGTTGCCTCGTTTATGCATTCATTGGTTGCTTCTTGTATGTGCTTTGAGCAGGGATCAAACCTGGGACCTTGGTGTATCAGGTGGATGCTCTACCCAGCTGAGCTACCTGGTGAGGGCTTTACTTCATTTCTGATAGCAACTCAGGGCCGTGCCTATTTTACGAATAACCCCACCTACTGCCATCCTGATTGTTTTGAAAATCTGATACCTTCTTTTTCACAAGTGAATATTTCGGTGTAAATCTGTAAAACTTAAAGATTTAAAGAAAAAACTAAAATACTACCATTGAGGGCTCTTCTCCCCCCCCCCCCCCCTTATACCTTCTCCCCCCAATTATCTGATATTAAAAACTTCTCAGTATTTAAATAATGCACATCTCATTTCTTTTCAGTTGATTTGTTCCTACCAGGGTCCTAAGTAGGTCCATATTTGATTGTAAGACCCTGTTTGTCTATAGATCTTCCCTCCCTCTTTGTCACCCTTAGCAATTATTTGTTAAGGAAAACACAGCCGCCCCTCCCACCGCGTGCGGCCCGGCCCGGCTCGGCGCTCGGATTCTGGGGGGACTGTGTCACCGCGATACCGTCCCGCCGCTTCTCTTTCCGCCTTCCGCCGCCTCCTCCCCAGCCATGGCTTCCGGGCTGGGAAGGCTGCTGCTGCAGGGGCTTCGCTGCCTCCTGGCCCCGGTCGCCCCCGCTCTCGCCCCGCCGGTTCGGGGCGTGAAGACCTTCCGCGCCGCCGTCCGCTTCCAAAAGGAGCTGGAGCGCTGGCGCCTGCTCCGCAACCCGCCGCCGCCCGTGCGCCGGTAGGAGCCGCCGCGGGAGGGGCCAGGGCGGCGGGCGCGGGCCCGGGCCTCCCGCGGGGCTGCGGCCTCGCGGCGAGGAGGGCAGGTGGTCGCTGGTGCGCGCCTGGTGCGAGCCCGGGAGGTTTGCGGTGGAGACGCGGGGACGGAGCCGGGGGGAGTGGGTTTGGGGGGCTGCCCGACGTGTGGGAGCCCCCTTAGGCGCCAGCCCGCGGGCTATGGGAAGTGAGCGGCTGGCTGCAGGGCGACCTTCCCGTGGCCTTGGGTGATCGGGGCCGTGTGTTCCACCACAATCCACTTATATCGCAAAAGAGAAATGTTTTAGTCTTAGGTTCTTGCTCCAGGAATAGGAGGTCCATGGAAAGGGACGTAGATCCTTTCTGATGGGTGTTTCTAGTTTCTTGGGATATATTCCTAGAAGTGGGATTTGTCCTTTTTACCATGTGTTACTATGGTCTTCTGTTTTACATTTTCAGTTCAGAGAAGCCCAACTGGGATTACCATGCTGAAATACAGGCGTTTGGACATCGGTTGCAGGAAACCTTTTCCTTAGATCTTCTCAAAACTGCCTTTGTGAATAGCTGCTATATTAAAAGTGAGGAGGCCAAACGCCAGAAACTTGGAGTAGAGAAAGAAGCTGTTCTTCTGAATATTAAAGATAATCAAGAGCTATTTGAACAGGGGTCATCTTTTTCAAAAGCTTGCCTCACCCAGTTTCTGGAGAACGCATTCCCAGACTTGCCCATTGAAGGCGTTCAGAGTCTTGTTGACTTTCTCACTGGTGAGGAAGTCGTGTGCCATGTGGCTAGAAACTTGGCTGTGGAGCAGTTAACGCTGAGTGCAGACTTTCCAGTGCCCCCGACTGTGTTACAGCAGACTTTCTTTGCCGTAATTGGAGCCCTGCTGCAGAGCAGCGGACCTGGGAGGACTGCACTTTTCATCAGGGTAGGTCATTAGTAATTGCACATACTGAGGTGGACAGAAAGAAAAAAAAAAGTTAAATAAATCTTTAATATATATATATATATATGTGTATATATATATATGTATATATGTATATATATGTATATATATGTATATATATGTATATATATAAAATTATTAATTTCAGAGAGGATAGGGGAGAAAGAGAAACATCAGTGATGAGAGAATTACTGATGGCAAATAGTGAATAACCGTGGATGTCTTATAAGGCATCTCCGTACATTAAGATACTCAAAATCCCCAACTGAGAATGAACTTAGAAATATTTTTTATCAGTGAAGCTGAAATAGAGGTCTTGAACTTGGGGAAGTGTTGTAATGAAATTGACTCTATTTCGTGAACTGAGGAATCTCTTTGTTTTCTCCCACTTGCCCCCATTTATCCCTCCCATTACGCATTGTTCACACAAGTTAATTGCAGTGTATTATGAAAATTAATATTTTATAATTCAATACAATATAATTTATTGCAAAAAAAATTCTCTTGTGCTTTGAATGATCATAATTTGTTCCTCTTTTTTTTCTTTTTCTTTTTAGTTTTATAAACTGAAAGTATGTAAGTCAAACACTTAAAAGGCAGTTGATGTGAAATTACATGTTAAGGGAGGTAAATCAAAGCATTTCACTGAGGGCGTTCAGGAGAAGTTCCAGGGCTGGGAGGACAGTGAGATCCCACGTCCTCAGCCTGGCTGCGATCTCCCAGCTTCACAGTTGCCGGAATCTTGAAATCATTATTTAAATGATTTTTTAAAATCATGAACTTAAAGAACTGCTGCTATCCAGAAGACTTTTAGTCCCTTTTTATAAGAGTTTCTGTCAGAAGTTACTAGTTTATTCATTCATTAAACTCTTTGTAAAACTATTTTCTTACTGATAATATATTTCTAAATTATGAGACAGGATTTTACCTTCAACCATGATTTTTGTAATAAAATTTATATGAGAAAACTACATGCACATGTAAAGGAATAGTACTTTTTTTTTTTCCATTTCCGATTCAGTTTTTAATTGAGGTTTTAAAATTGTACTTTGAATTATGGCTTTTATTTTCTTTACACTAATTTAATGTATAAATTCTATTTTTATATGCAGGACTTCTTAATTACGCAGCTGACTGGGAAAGAACTCTTTGAGATTTGGAAGGTCGTCAATCCCATGGGGCTACTGGTGGAAGAATTGAAGAAAAGGAATATTTCAGCTCCTGAACCGAGACTTACCAGGCAGTCTGGAAGCACCACAGCTGTGCCTTTGTATTTTGTTGGCTTATACTGGTTAGTAACATTTTAATCTTAACTTCATTACATTGATTGAAAGCCTTAAAAAATGACTTTCATAGTTCCTTAGTATAACCTTTAATTGTATTAAAAATTATTTAAAATCTCATTCCTGTGATTATGTACTACTTAGGGAAAGGTAAGTCATCTGTGGATTGCTAATAGTATCACTCTTTCCGCCCTGGGTTTTCTTTCTCTTTTTTAAATATATTTTTACTAATTTAAGAGAGGAAGGGAGAGAGAGAGAGAGAAATAACGATCAGAGAGAATCATTCATTGGCTGCCTCCTGCATGCCTCCTACTGGGGATCAAGCCCTCAACCCAGGCATGTACTCCAACCAGGGATCAAACCTAGACCTTCTGGTTCATAGGTTGCTGCTCAACACTGAGCCACATAGGCCAGGCTCTTTTTTAAAAAAAATTTTATTTTATTTTTCAATTACCGTTGACATTCAATATTATTTTATACTGTTTTCAGGTATACAGCATAGTGGTTAAGCAGTTATATGATTTACAAAGTGATCTTCCTATATTTCCAGTACCCACTTGGCACCATGCATAGTCATTACAATATTACTGACTATACTAGAGGCCTGGTACACAAAATTTGTACACTCGGTGGGTGGAGGGGTGCTCCAGCCTGGCCTGTGCCCTATCATAGTGCGGGAGCCTCGTGATTGATTGCTCCAAAGAGGTAGGCCCTGCCCACCCATCCTGGGCTCCTCAATGGATTGCCCCAAAGAGGTAGGCCAGAGCCAGGAGGCAGGGTCCCCAGGGCCCCCAGGCAGGCCTTGCCGGGTCTCATCGTGTGAAGCCAGGAGGAGGCAGGACCCCCAGGCAGGCCTCCTTGCATGGAGCCGAGGGATCCGCCTCCTCCCAGTCTGCACAGAGAGCTGGGAGGAGGCAGGACTCTATGCGCATGCAGCCTCAAGCCCAGCTCCCACCCACCTGTGTGTGCCCGCTGTGCGCACAGTCATCTTGTGATGGCATGATGATCATTTAGGCTTTTATTAGTAAGGATTCCCTATGCTGTACTTATTATTTTTAATATATTGTTATTGACTTCAGAGAGGAAGGAAGGGAGATGGGGAGGGAGAGAGAGGGAGAAACATCAATGATGAAAGAGAATCATTGATTGGCTGCTTCCTGCATGCCTCACACTGCGGATTGAGCCCTCAACCCAGGTATGTGACCTCCTGGTTCATAGGCGGATGCGTAACTGCTGAGCCACACTGCCTGGGCTACTGTATCTACATCCCATGACTATTTTGTAACTTCCAGTCCACACTTCTTAATCCCTTCCCCTTTTTCATGCTAATTGTAGCTTTTGATAACCGAATATTACTATAACATTTATGGAATATATGCTAATCTAAATATTTCTGTAGAAAAAAATAAAAGTTTTGATTCAAGTTTTGCAGATTTAACAGTAAGCCACACTGCCGAAACCGGTTTGGCTCAGTGGTAGAGCATCGGTCTGCAGACTGAAGGGTCCCGGGTTCGATTCCGGTCAAGGGCATGTACCTGGGTTGTGGGCACATTCCCAGTAGGGGGTGTGCAAGAGGCAGCTGGTCGATGTTTCTCTCTCATCGACATTTCTAGCTCTCTGTCTCTCCCTTCCTCTCTGTAAAAATAAAAATCAATAAAATATATTAAAACAAAAACAAACAAACAAACAAAAAAAACCAGTAAGCCACACTTGTAACAGCTTCAGCTGAGGCAAGAACTGGAAAAAGAACGGTTTAGTTGTCCATCAAAATGTATAAATTGGTTCATGTTCAGGACTTTTTAGTTTCCTTAGGGAACAGTGACTTGCCCCAAATTGATTTCAGGTGGATTTGAGCAGGGGTCCTCAAACTTTTTAAAGTGGGGGCCAGATCACAGTCCCTCAGAGAGCTGGAGGGCCGGACTATATGAACTACTAATTCCTACTGTAACACCTTGGCTGCGCTCACTGCCCAAAAAACCTGGCGGGCCGGATCAGACTCCTCTGCGGGCCGCATGTGGCCCTCGGGCCGTAGTTTGAAGACGCCTGGATTTGAGTATTAAATGTAAACAGTGAATATTAAGATAACTAAGAAGTTAGATAAATATTTTTCTAATTGTATATGATGTAGGGCTTTTTAACTATGAAAGCAGCGACATTACAGAGGAGAAAAAGGGTGGTGATACAAAGTTTCACCTTTAGTTTTAATTAAAGTGTAAAGCAAAGTGTAAGATACTCCTTTGCTTCTCATATCAGCAAACTTTGAACACATTCTTTATCAGCAGTTCATATACTGTTGCTGGTAGAAAGAAAAATGGTACCCACTATTTCTATTCCTTCTGGTGGATGATATTGCCAAAATAAGATAAAGCAAAACTGATTTGTGATGCACCAGATAATTTCGGACTGCTGCTGTTTTTACTCTAGTGATAAAAAGTTGCTTGCGGAAGGACCTGGGGAGACAGTCCTGGTTGCAGAAGAAGAAGCTGCTAGAGTGGCACTGAGGAAACTCTACGGATTCACTGAGAACAGGCGGCCTTGGGACTATTCCAAACCCACAAGGGATCTCAGAGCAGAAAAGACCATCACTGCCAGCTAGCCAGCCACAGATGTGGGAACCTGAAAGTTGTAAGCGAAACATTGAGACAATTGTCAGATGTCCAAACCTTTACATTTTTCAAATTGTAAAGAAATATGTTTTATTCCTTGTACCGAGTTTCTAAAAGTAAACAAGTATTCATCAGGGCACAGCTTTTGTATTTTAATAATTTTTGTTTTGCTGAAACCGGTTTGGCTCATTGGATAGAGCATCAGCCTACGGACTGAAAGGTCCCAGGTTCGATTCCGAAAAGGGCATGTACCTTGGTTGTGGACACATCCCCAGTAAGGGATGTGCAAGAGGCAGCTGATCAATGTTTCTAGCTCTCTATCCCCCTCCCTCTCTGTAAAAAAATCAATAAGATATATTTTAAAATAATGATAATTTTGTTTCATCATCGTTTTTTATGTTTTACCAATAAATTTTTTCTAGGTTCTTGGATTTATTATTGTATATAACTTGTACAACTAGGTGTATTTTATTCCCTTCTAGCTTTGAGGTATAATTTGAATGTATTTTTTTTTCTTTTTCTTTGTTTTATGTGAACTTTGCTGTAATACCAATAAAAAAAAGGTACTCTTTCTCTAATTGTTTCATTGTAGTTTAATTTGATATACCCAGGTGAATGAACTTTGCCTCTCTAATATAATTTTAGCTAAAATAGTAATGTTATTACTTAATCTTTAGAAATGTAGGGTGCATATTACAGCAATTAGGTGCTTACATGATCTCTAGATTCTATCTAGGTTTAAAAATCTGTATAGTAATGCATTTCATAGCTATTCAGTTTCTACCAGGCGTCTTCAAACTACGGCCCGCAGGCCACATGCGGCCCGCAGAGGAATCTGATCCGGCCCGCCAGGTTTTTTGGGCAGTGAGCGCAGCCGAGGTGTTACAGTAGGAATTAGTAGTTCATATAGTCCAGCCCTCCAGCTCTCTGAGGGACCGTGATCTGGCCCCCACTTTAAAAAGTTTGAGGACGCCTGAAAATGGAAGAAAAGATACATGTTATGTTTTTAAAAGAAAACACGAAGATCAAAAAGCAGCTCAAAGTATTGATGCCAATGCTAATGGAAAAATAAAGTATGTATTTGTCAATTTAATATTTCATAATAATAATCATAGTAACTATATGCCAAGCACTGTTCTCTACATGTTTTACTGTAACATTTAATTTGATAGAGGACAAATCTTAAGAGTGTCCTCTGGCCCTTTAATTCTTTGTGTTCAGTTCCGTAAACCTGCAAACTCCCTTTGATTTATTTCTCTAACTTTTTGGCAGCGGTAATAATTTTCAGTTTCAGTTTGTCAGTAGTCACTCCCAGAGGTTAACAAGAAAAGTGGGAATGGGGAATCGGGAATAGAAAAGGTAAAATGTTTAAACGGATAGCACTGTTGCTATGAAATCTTTTTTATAAGGGAAGATGAAGGACCTCTGACACTTTCCTGAGACTGGTTAGGAAAGTAGAACTTAATGTCACATATATGAGGGTTTATAGATCTCACAGCTAACAGACTGGAGTGGAAGGTTTGAGAATTATATAGTTGGTTGAATTGGTGTAAATTATTTCATCTTTCTTTTGAGAGTTAACTAACTTTCTAATAATTGAACACAGGGACAGAGGATCAAACCCACAATAAGCAAACATGATTTGACAAGTATCTCATTGACACCAAAGGGGAAGAGATTACAGAAAGTTTCTGGGAAGCAAAACATGAAAAATATCCTCCAACCACTTATCAGTCATATGCAAAACTTCAGGTTCTATTTGAGTGCTAGAATTTTATTTTAGGTGAATGTTTTTAAAAGAATTTAGTTGCAAATCCCCCAAAGCCCCATTAGTAGTGCTGATAACGCAATCCTAAAATTCTCCTGTTCAGGGCAGTTTGCAGGACCTTAACCTACAAGGTCGGAGGGAATTATCCTCATCCTTAGGCTTACAAGTTCTGAAACCTTGAATGCTTTTAAGTTTATATACAGAGCAAAGCTAGTTCTGGTTCATAAAAACTATTCTGCAAGCAAAGAGCCAAATTCCTTATGGAGGTTGTGAGTTTAACATATTTTCTAAGTTAAGTCTCCTTTGAACCTGAATTAAGTTGTACTTTCTAAAAGAACCCATGAACATATGATGGGCTGTAAAGTAGAAAACAAATTATTAACATACTCTTGCAGTTCTATATGAAATAGCTTGAAACTTGGAACCAATCTGGACAATTATTTGCTCTAAGGGTAAATCCTGCATGAGTGATGTGCGGGCAAGAGGGATGTGGGGTACAAGGATGTCAAATGGGTGTGTAACCTAGAGCATTCGGTGACCATTTGGAGGACTAGGTTTTTGATGGTCTAATCTGTGTTGCAAAGATAGTTGCTATGACCATAGGAAATTGGTGGGAATATAAAAGTACTGATACTTGAACTTGGCATAGGAGAAAGACATTAGACTTATTTACTTTGAAATTCTGACACCCTTTCTCACCTCTTTCCACTCCACTCCCTAAGCCCAAAATATAATGATGCCAGAAAAAGTTTCTTAGTCAAAAATGTAAGGTTGATATGTACAGACTCAATTACATAAGCCTTATTCTTTTTAGTACATGTGCTCTTATTATCTGTATATATAGGAAATATTATTCTCAAAATGATTTATGTGATCATGAGAAAGTGAACTATTACTAAAAACAAACTCCCAAGAATGAAATAGGGGCTGTTTATTGTGTTAAGCATGTATATATATATATACTAGAGGCCGATGCACAAAATTCGTGCAAGGAGCTCAGCCCTTGAAGCCATGGCTGCCTTGGCCCTAGCAGCCCCTCCTGCTGCCACGGGCCAGCCTACTGGTCGGAAGGTCCATCTGCCATCAGGTCTAAGTAGCATATTAGCTCTTTATTATATAGGATTTGGCCACAAGATGGCCCTCTAATTCCATTTCACAGTTACAGTAAGTAGTATGCAAAGTGCCATTATGTGAGACACTGCCTTTTATCCCAATACAGGAGACAATGTATGTATGTATGTATGTATGTATAGGGTATGTGATTACAGTGATGACTTTTCTAGGCCCCTTACAGCTCTAATGAATATGTGTGCAGAAGTTAACTTACCTCTTCCCTCTGGATATAGAATTCAGAATTTCATGTAAGAGCCATTCATGCCAAGGTCTGGATGTTTTAGCTCTTATATTTACTGGAAAGAAGGAAGATGGCAGAGCTTCCATAGATAAAACTTTTTTCCCCAATTCTTGCTACCTTTTTTTTTTTTTTTTTTTTTTTTTTATGATGGAAGAAAATGCACTGACTGCAGAGTATCCATCTTGACAGTTTGTAAAATCAGATGTGGACATCCCTCTGATCAGGGGTCCAGCTCACAAATTCCTCAGCTGAGGGATGCCCAGCTGGCAGCATGCTGCTCACATCTGCATCCTTAAACCCCTTCTGTTCTCCCCTCAGCTGGCCCCTGTGTTGTCTCCAACACTGTTTGTAAAGCTCTCTACCATTTTGCAGCTCCCAACTTTGGCAAGCAGAACACTTGAAAGTCCTGGCTCTCTAAAGAATACCAGGTGATTGCTAAATTGAATCCCATCTTGCAAACTATGAACTTTTCCAGGAGAAAAGTCATGCAATCAAAAATTATAACCACAAGCACATATACTTCTGAAAAAAGCAAGCCGGTTGGTGTTGGAACTGTCTGTGCTTTCACTAACACTCGCTTTTGTTCATGTACCTGACTGCCTGTCAGGGCTCACTAGCAGCAGAAGACTGAAGTTTTCAGAAAAATCTGACAGAAAACCAATTGAGAAAATTAAAAACATTAAACGATTTCCCCTTCCGTTGAGGAAGAGCTCTATTGTATGATTATTCACATCTGTTGTACATTAACATTGCCAAGAACTGATGAATTTGACCTAATGAGTTTTGCAGAAGAGATGAGTAATGAGGTCACTGACAGGTAGAGAAGGATATTTCCAGTCAGAAGGGTTTGTTTGCCTTTCTGACGACATTTCCTCTACATCATAGCATTGTCATCTCTGCAGTCAGAAAACAGTATGGGCTAGGGGATACCATCAGTACACAGTTTAGTTAATAAGACCAATACAGTCAAGGGTAGAGGACCATCCTTAGAGTAACATGACAATGATGTCTGTAGGGGTCCCTACAACCTGCCTCTAGGACTCACTTCTTAGTCCTGGGGTCGTTTTTCCTGTCCAGCAGGTTGCCTTTGGTACCAGGGATTATAAACTTCAGAAGAGCAGGTATCTCACTAAGAAGTTTAAAAATTCACTTTCATTTTTCTATTTAATGTTCAATTTAATCTGCAAACGCTAACAGTGTACCTGGTAACAATGTACCTTGACCTCCTGGTTCATGGGTTGACAAATCAGCCACTGGGCCACACTAGCTGGGCCAGACACTCAATTTTATTTATTTATTTTTTAAATATATTATTTTTTATTGATTTTTTACAGAGAGGAATGGAGAGAGATAGAGTTAGAAACATCGATGAGAGAGAAACATCGACCAGCTGCCTCCTGCACACTCTCAGTGATGTGCCCGCAACCAATGTATATGCCCTCGACCGGAATAGAACCCAAGACATCTCAGTCCACAGGCTGACGCTCTATCCACTGAGCCAAACTGGTTTTGGCAGATACTCAATTTTAATGTGCCCAGTAAAATATGGCTGATTTATATTATTGGGGAGCTGCCCCTCTGTGTCACATAATAGGCCTGCTCTATTGGGCAGTAATAAAAAGGTGAACTCTTCCGGTCTTTTTAGGAATGAGCAGTGCTGGAGTCAAGAGCCCAGTGAGCTAGTCTTGGCCTGCAAGTGTTTTTTTGTCTTTACTCTTGGATAATGCCCATTGGGTATTATTTCCTACCATGTAAACACACTGCAACAGTCAGATATCTCGATGTGCTAGGATTCTCTCTCTCTCTCTTCTGAAATTAAACTGTGTGGAGAAATATTTATCTCTGTACCCCTGGTATTTGGTACCCCAAAGGTAGTTGAATGAATGAGTGGAGTGCACAATTCTTGGATTACTGATTACACTATTCTTATTTTAAACTATTTGATTTAGCTGAATGGGATCAGAAAACTAGAAAACCAGTAATACTACTCTAAAAGGCATTAATAACTAACTGTACCAGCATGTTTGCTAGA